TCTGATGAACCAAAGGCACAGCAGTTATTTGGCTAAAATGAGTTGCTGGCATTCAGCAAAGGTATGTCTCTTGAACCTGTTATTCACTTAATTGCAGTGTTTAATAATTAAAGGATGGAAGGTTTAGTTAAGTTCTTGGTTATAAGATGTATGATACTGAAGGATGCTTACGGGGGTGAAGTCCCCAGCTGCTAATGCTTTGTATATTTATGTAAACAGATAGAAGGAATTTCCTAGTTTGTTGCATAGTACTTCATCAGGTGTCTTAAAGTCACAGGCATATAGGTTTAATCTTAAGGAGTAGAAGCTTATACCTTGAGTAGACCCACTGATTTCAAAGGGCTGGAATAAAGCATTACTAAATATAATAACATAAGAATTTGGCGTTCTGGAATTAGCATTTAAAGTGATCTTCATTTTACACAGAAAGACCAGGAATTAGGCTGATTATATTGTTGTTGCAAGCTACACTGTGACCTAAAAGCATGACTTTTTTTTCCCCCCCCCGCTTACTACTTATAGGAACCCTAAAACTGGAGTTCTGATGTTAAACATGGGAGGCCCAGAAACACTGGAGGATGTCCATGACTTTCTCCTTAGGCTTTTTCTAGATAAAGACCTAATGACACTTCCTGTACAAAAGTAAGTAACACTGGGCACTTTGCTGCTGGGTTTTACGTTGAGTGTTCATGTTTTAGTACCATTGTGAGCTGCATACAGAACTGTGCTATTCTTCTGCATGTCAGCATTTTCTGAGGCCAAGAACTGTTCTGAATGTCTCATGAATTCTTGGTACTCCTAAATCATATTGCAGGTCTCTGAGAAGTAGGGAGTCTTAGGTTAGGTCCTTCATCTAGAATCACAGTCCTTTGTAACTTTCTTAATTGCCGTCTACCGTCCATGAAAGTGAATTAGATCATAAAATAGTATTCTAGAATAATGCTGAATCCACAATCGTGATGAATTAACAACTTACTTGGTGGTGGGAATGATTGTTGGCTTGCTGAAGGCAAAGAGGAGATAATGGGGATTATGTTTTTGGATGTTTCAGTAAGTTGGCACCATTCATTGCCAAACGTCGCACACCAAAAATTCAAGAACAATATAGCAAGATTGGAGGCGGATCACCAATTAAGAAATGGACTGCAGTACAAGGAGAAGGCATGGTGAAACTGCTGGATGGAATGTCTCCTCACACTGGTACTTTTACATGAAACTACATGTACATGTGAATCAGTTTTCACTTTCACACCGCTTATTGTTTGAGTGCCAACAGTATGTTCAGTCCTGTGTAAAATGCACGTGAAAATGATACCCTTGTTGTAGAGTGCTTTTAAAGAGGTAAACATGTATAGTGCATGGTGCTTGTGTTGTGGGAAGTATACTCTGCTGTTACTTGCTAACTTGGGTACTGGTAGCAATCTAACCGTGATGCCATTGAGCTAAGCTAATAATCTCAGCATTTACCCAGTTTCCTGAACAGGTGCTGCAGCATATGCTGAGCTTTGCATTGCTGTGGTAAAACTGCTACCAGTATTTGAACTAGCTGGGTTAGAACATACTAGAGATACTGTACCGGGTGAGACTATAGGTCCATCTAACCCAGCATCCTGTATCTTACAGTGACACAGAGCAGGTGCTAAGGAGAAGAGTGTCAGCACAGGGCCGATCCAGATTGACCTGTCCCCTGCCCCTCTTCCCTTACAGTTTCTAGCATCTAGAGGTGTAGGAAGTCCATGTTTAGAGGTTGCATCCCTATCATGACTATTATAGTCACAACTAAAGGGTTTTTTGAGACAACTTCTATCTTGGGAAAACAGGAAAGAGAGGAGTGTCTTTGAATGGAGAAAGTTTGTCTAATAAAGCTGGAGTGAGAGGCCAAAGATTGATGTAATTACCAGCACAGAGAAGTCAGTGTGGATCTGGGTGCAGGCTGGTGTTCTTGTGAATGGCTTTATAATCTCCAGTGTAACCTAAGATGTATGTATTTTTTTCTGGAAGAAAAGTGGTTCCATCCCTGTGGTCACTGCCCTGGACACCAATGTCACTGTTTCAATTACAGGAAGGTCTTGTCCCCTGTCACTGAGTGAAAGGCTCTCCTTTAAAGCAGGGGCTTCATCTTCTGTTCCTTGACATTACCAAGAATATGATTGGGCACCATGATGTGCATCATAGTGACAACAGTCACTGTGTCATAAAATTTGTACACACAGTGCTGCCTCAGAATGAGCTAACTGTAGATCAGAGCAGACCCTACTGCTGTCAGTCAGCCTTCTTCACTGCCACACTGTTAACATTGCCAGCAGCTACAACTCACGAGACTTTGTGTTATTCCTGTCCTGTTGCTCTTGAAGCCAGGGTACAGTGCTTTACTTCTCAGTGCAGATGTAGCTCAACTGGAGTGTTATTAAATAACTATTTAAATATGCAGCCTGAATGTGGAGGCTTGGGTATTTTTGGTATGCTTTAGCTGTGCCCCAGGGGTTTTGGGGGTTGGGTAGCTTTCAGTAGGGTGGCCGTGCTTCAGGGGCTTTTGGGGAGGTCTCTTTGGATGCCCTTGGTCTTGTTTTTTTATGGCTATTTAAAATGCACATCCAGGCTAATAGTGTGTATACAGTCTGTATCTGTTAAACTGAATTGTTAACAGTTCATGAAAGATAAAAGGTTTAGCACAAACTGGGTCTGATCTCTATACTATTGCTGGAAGAAAGATTTTGATGGTTGAACTCTGTAGTGCATAAGATGACTGCTGTCAGCTCCACCCAAGGGCATGAGGGTTCCTCCCTTGGGACTAGAACAGTAGATAAGCCTTAACAGTCTGGCTTGCCCTGCATGGGGCAACAAAAAGGAGATATAGTCTCTTGTAAGCACTCTATCAGCTGGGGTAGAGTCTGAAAAGAGAGCAAGCTTGTTAATCTTTGTAAAAGTCTGTCTCCCCTCCCAAGTTTGCTGGGTCTCTATGACCCTGTCCTCTCCAGCTAGTGGAAATCCATATAAAAGAAATGTGACACTTTTTTGTTGATTTAAGGCCTGATCCACACATGACACTTGCCATGAGAGAGAACAAGCAATTCCATTTACTGGGTCAGATCATAGATCCATCTAGCCCAGCATCCTGTGGAATAGCAGTGTGTGGAGGCTGAACCAGAGGGTGAACAGGGCATGTTCAGAATCATCCACCCTCCTGCTTTTCTCCCATTGTAGCTTCCAGCTAAAATTGCTTTGGAAACGGGTGCAGATAAACACCTCATAATCCTAACATTAAAGCTAACCTGACTCAAATGATTTTTAAACCAGTTTGAAAATCCTGTTGACGCAGGAGTTTGCACCAGCATAGGTGAAATTTGTTTCATAATTCATGGCAGAGGTGATATCTTTTATTAGACCAACTAGATATTTGCAAAAAAAATCTTTATTTGCAGGCTTTTTTTGCACATTTACCCTCTTCAGGCATAGGGAAATGCAAAGATTGTAACATTTTTCCTAGGTGGAAATGAAAATTCATATTTCATGGAAGAGCTGAAGGCTCATAGATTTTATAGACATTAGGGCTGGAAGGGAACTCGGAAGATCATCAAGTGTTGTAAGATCACTTGGTTGGAATAGTTCTGGTTATGATGTTATAGTTCTAATCTTCTGGTTATGATGTTTCATATTTCACAGGAGTGTGGGAAGATGGAATGCTTTCCTGGGCAAGGAGTTTCTCTTGTGTTGAGGTGCCTCTGATCTCTGTGAACATACACATTTAGCTTGTACAAAAGGCAGGAGCCAAGGTGTCAGCTTTCAGGTTTCCAGGTGGTAGATGTTGCTTCTTTCTTGTAAAATTAGGAAGTTTTCATTTAAAAAATGGCTAAAATTGGTATCTTCCATGTCTTAGGGATACAGGTTGTAGTCATATTGGTCTACAGGCAAAAGGAATCAGAACTTGTGGCAGAAGTGATATCTTCTATTAGACTAACTATATATTTGCTAAAAAATGTCTTTATTTGCAAGTGAGTGTGCCTGAAAATAAAGATTTTTGGGTTTTTTTTTTGCAAATATCTAGGTGGTCAAATAAAAGGTATCACTTCTGCCAAAAGTTCTGATTCCTTTTGCCTATAGACCAATACAGCTACAACCTGTGTCTCTGAAATTTAGTTTTACATTTGTTTTAGTGCAAATCTGTGTGTATCCTGGGCTTTAGGCCTCTGCATATATTTCTCATGTTTGATGTTGTGGTGGCGAGAAGCCCCCACTGGGGACAAACCCCAGCATTCCCAGAGTGGGGGAAAGAGAACACGCCACACACTGGGAAGCTTACTGTCTGGATGGGCGGGGGCCATGCTACCTGGTTCCACCTGCTCTTCAAGCAGCTGCTTCCTGGGTGGGGCAGTGGCCAGCTGATTGCAGCAGCTGATGCTGTTGCTGTGGGGAATTTAAAAACCCTACTGGAAGCTGGCAAGTGTGGGGGAGGAAGCCAACTGGGAGCATGCCAGCCAGGTGGAGGCTTCGGGCACTGGCTGTGGCAGCACAGAAGATGCTGTTCCGCTGCAAAGGAGCGATCCCCAGCCCCTCAGCATTAAAGGTTACTAGAGGTGACCCTCTTGGTGGAGGACGCCAGATGCCTGTGGCTCAGACCCTTGAGACCAGGGACTGAGGGTCCAGGAATATCAACATTCTGGCGACAGGCTGGATTACCGAAGCCAACATCGGACCCCATAGTTAAGGGGACCAACATAGATCGTTAGGGCAATGAATGAAATACCCGAGCAGTTGGCGAGTGGACGGGGTGTAGGGGAGGCAGAGCCCCGAGGAACACTGTGGCACACTTGTGAGTACCCTGTCTTCAGGTCTACAGGGGAAGAGAACACCACTGAACCCCTTCCTTCTCTTCATATACCAACAAGTCGTGGCAGACGAGTTGGGGGACCCCGACCTAGGGGGCACTGTTGTACTCACAGCACCTACTCAAGGTGTTACAGACATTGTTAGCACCTGTTGGGAATCTGAAATTGTGAAACCCTGGATTTTTGGGTGAGGGTGGTGAAATTGTGGTACATAGGTGCTCTATGAACTTAATCTCGTAGTTGAAATATGCACATGCAGCACTACCAGAAACCACATTCTTCTGCTTCCGCCACAAAAATGTTCAGGGTCAGAATCCATGGCAGACTTCTGTAGCCCTCCACTCAGGTGGGTACAGCTTCAAGGGCTTGGCAGATCAACCCCTACACCCATTGCCTAGAGGAGACTGGGTACAGCAAGAAATGTATGGCAACAGCTGTTTGGAAGGTTGGGCCTCAATTCTTTGTCCTCTCTGTTGAGACTGCTACTTTGGTACCAGCCATAAGCAGCGATCAGTTTTTGGGCTGCTCTGTTTTGGAATAAGCTTGAATGCTTACCTTCATTCTAACTGCACTGGTATCTGTATCACAGTTAACTGTTCTGCTGCAGATACCCAAGGAGAGGAAAATAGTGATGTGAGGAGAAGGGACCTTGGCCAGATACCTGCTGACTGACTCTGCTAGAGATTAATACCAAGATAGCATTTTCTGCCTTAGCTATTACGGTACATGTTACAAATGCTGAGATGTTAATTGAAACTGGAAAAGTGAGAGGCCCAGGAAGGAGTTTTGTTTCTATGCAGCTCAGTAACTTTCTGGGACTGAATGTCATGCTCCTTTTTTGCTGTTTCCTTGGCCTTGGAATTAGCTGCTGTATAGTCACAGTTCTGTGTGTGATAATCGGGAGTCTGGATTTTCTGTTTGCCATGGAAGAATATACTTTTTCCCTTTTTAAAGGAGAAAATCATTGATTTTCTACTTCAGAGGAGAGAAACCTGCACAGCTGTGGGCTTCCCCTTGCAGGCTGGCTGAGTTCCAGCCTGCAGCGGGGGGGCATGGGGCACCACGTGCATGTGCGGGCACGCATGCACATACATGGCAGCCAGGCAGTATGGTGGAAAGCAGTTCCTACAGCTTCCTGCAGGTACATCTATGAAACTGGTAGGAAGGCATGTGCCGTCCCCTCCCCTCCAATTTCTGCACCCACAGCAGGTGGGACTTGGCATAGGAGGGAGTGTTGCACCACCATAGCCTCTGAGTAGAGATGCCTCTGCCCTCCCAGTAGCAATGGGGGCAGAACTCCATGTCACCTCCACTGACCAGTGGCCATGGTGGTGCAGCAGCTCTCCCTCCCACGCTGGGTCCTGCTCACTGGGC